AAAACCGTGGTATTAGGTATGTGTATCAGCCATAAAATAATCTACGCAGAAAGTGGCTTTCATTATGATTTTAAACTACAAGGTCAGAAATAACAGACTGTTGTCCACGTTCTCAATTCATTATTTTAGCTTTGGCTTCCCACACAATTCACTTAAATTTGTTTGGTTGTGTGTTTCTGTTATTTCTGTGAACTGTGGGAAAACATCTGGCTTGTTCCCAACAGAATTGTAGGCTTTGAACCTAGAGTAGAATATGATGGAGAATGGAGAAGGTTACGATTTGATGCTCGAGGGAGGTCAGAACTCTTGTCTGTTGTCAGGATTCGTCATCAATAATAGCGTGGGATTTAAGCGGCATTCTGGTCGCTAAGACGATTCCTTTCATTTCGTAAAAGGGGATGGGTTTTTCTAGCTGCTGACGTTCTCTCATATTGTGTTAATTTGTTTTAGGGGGATGGGGATTGTAGAAGATGAAGGGGGTCGAGAGTGCGTGTGTTCTGGGGGAGGAGGAGATGGGGTCCAGGCTGACACATTATTTTTCATTTTTATCTGTATCCCATCCGAGTCTGTTAACTGGCAATGTGGATTGAGTGCGTTTAAGAGTGTTTTAGTGTTTCTTTTGTAATGAATGTTGTCAATGACAATGAATGACAATGACAATCTTTGTTCATCTCACAGGGAGAAACTTCCAATGCGGTCGTTAGATCTATCCGTCCCATTAACATCGGACTTGGAACTTATTCCGCCCATTCCTTCTCTATTGCAGGAACAAACCTAGACATACAAGTAATGAAAAGAAGAGAGCCAAAGCCCTTTTGCGTAAAAAATCCTCAAACACATTTCTGATGGTTCAAATTTTCAAACATGTCATCACTCACTCGTCCCTTAGCTTGTATTCTCGTAGGGAGCTCAGCATAGATGTCGAGATTTTCTTCCGAATCTGTATGTCTGTCGTCCTGACGATGAGCTCCCTTGAACACAAATTACTCCCTTCCTTCATTCAAACATGTACCAGCAACAAATTGCATTCAGTTCCTGAGTAGACCGTAGCAAGACTCACTGCAAGATCGCAAGACTATTGCCATAAGTCCACTCATTGCCTTTATAAAGTACTAGAGGGAGGGATGGGAAGAAAAAGAGAGTGAGAGAAAGAAAGAGAGAGAGAGAGAGAGAGAGAGAGAGAGAGAGAGAGAGAGAGAGAGAGAGAGAGAGAGAGAGAGAGAGGGGGTGGGGAGAAAGTAAGAAAGACAGAGAGAGAGGGGGGGGGGATTTTCACTAATGAAATTATATTTTTGTACTGTTGGAAAACCCATTGAGCACTTTTTAAGTGAAAATGCACTGTAAGTATAAATGTAATTTATTTTTAATAAGTCCGTTGGAAAATATGATGATCACGTCAAGCTGTTCAAAAATCTTCAAACTCGACCCAGATTTTTGAAATATAGCCCAAACAAACTTCGATAAGTCTGGAGAGAAGGGGCGTTCAACAAGTTCAAATTTCAAGGAAACACAAGCTGACACAGCGCATTCCTTCCTTCTAGAATCTTCTCTCAGCAGAGTGCAGCATCGACAAAGTAAAAAGCAACCGCACAATTACTGCAAACAAGTATCATTTGTTTTTCCACCATCAACTATTAACAGCAAATCACAGTTCGATTCTCAGGGTATTCCAGAAGGCGCAAAGATGACAGTGACATATAAACCTAAAATTTGCCTTGTTTGTACATTATAGGAAGATGTTTTGAATCAATACCGGAACGAAAATCCTCAGAAAAATTATGCCCTCCCACAATTCTAAGATCTTCACCAAAACAGCCGAACCTTTGTGGAAACGCGAAACAAAAGAAAAGCACGCTCATTGTGGCGTGCCAAACTGGAATTATCGGACATTTTGGAGGAACCCAACTTCCCGACCGCGGAACTCTGCATGAATTCTGGGTCACAAACATGTTATGAATTTGTTTTAATAGAGGTTTTACGGCGCTCACAAACTGCATATGGTCATATGAGCGCCAAGATTTTAGGAACTGGTTTTGTGTATGGCACGCCTATTGTATTAAACTGTGGACTATTCGAAAAATTTCAAGCTGTTCAATTTTGCAGGTGTCTTGAAAATGGCATGCAGGTGTGAGGAGAAAATTATTTGCTGTTCTTTTCTGCAACGAGCTACCTAAAGTTTCAAATTTCAGCAACCATACGCTGCTTTAAATACGTTCAATATTCATATGTAAGAGAGAGTCCGCACAATAGCAGTACACAACGTGTTTCTCCTGAGACAAAGTTTAAGTTGAAAGGGGATGTAAAGTTGAAACATTTAGTTGTTAGTAACCTCTAATGCTTTTGCAACAAAGCGAAAGACATTAGAAGTTCTGATAACAACCTAAGAGGAGAAACTGGTGTGCAGCGCCTTTCATATCGACGTCACCTTTAAGCAGAGGTTGCGCCCCCCCGGCTGACATTTCAATATGAAGGAGCAACACGCTTTTCTGCGACGTACAGT